AAGAAAAAGACAGCGGCCGATAGCGCTGTAAACAACGGTAGACTGGTGGATAATAAGCGAATGGATAATGCAGAAAACAGAGATTTGAGACGGGAAACTGTTCTTGAAGTACAGAGAGAGAGAGCTGTGCATGAAGTGTGATTTTGTGGTGGAAGCAAAACAGCAGTGATTCCATGACGACATTTATCAAATATGAAGTGTAGTTTGCTGCTTCTTTTGCTGCTGGAGAGAGACAAAACCTGCAGCTCAGAATCAACGCAAAAAGACAAACACTGCGCGGACCCGACGCATCAGAATTGGTGAGCCCTGACGGTGTGTCCGTCTACGTGCTGTCAGGTGAGAAAGCCGAGAAAGAGAAAGCTGATTCTGATGCGTCGGGTCCGCTCTGTGTTTACGTCTTTGTGTGGAATCCGTGTACCTGCTCTCATTTGCCGTTTGGTGGTTGTTGAAATAGTTTTGTGAGCTTTAATCTGAGAATCTGGCATTTCTGACAAAACACAGTTGTACTTAAAAGTCAATTCAGGATTTAATGAATCAATATCGCTTTATTCAAGCTACTCACCTCCCTCTTCCACCTGCACTTTCAACTGGACCACGGCCAGTCAGAGAGGTGCCACCCCTGACTATCTCTGATTGGTTTAGTCCACGACAGTGGCATAATATGTGTCTGTTGTTGACCACACGGAGAGTTAGAGATTTTTTTTTGTTACCCGAACAGTTAGTCGCACAGGTGCGACCAAATATTTTTTTTGTCGCACCACGGTATGGCAATTGCTCTGTGGTCTGCCATGAAGGTGACTGGGAGGGCTGAAGATCTTTCCCACCCCTGCATTTATGACCAGTCGGTAATCAGACAGGGCCAGCGGGTTCTGTCAGACGCATTACATGTTCTTCATATGAGCTCTTGCCTTCCAGCAGAGGATAGTCCCAAAATACAGGCTGAATTGCCTTAAGAATTCATTTGTTCCAACATCAATCAAGCTTTTAAATTACAGGTTTTAAAGTTATTAATTTTTTCGTTTAACGATAATGCAATTTGTGGCAGCACGGTCGCACAGAGATTAGCACTGTTGCCTCACAACAAGAAGGTCCTCCCTTTGGTGTCATTCAGTGTGGAGTTTGGATGTTCTCTCTGCATTTGCGTGAGTTCTCTCCAGGTACTCTGGCTTCCTCCTACAGTCCAAGCATTCTCCACGACACCGTGTGTCCACAGGTCGCCCGTCAAACTGTCGCTCTCCTGCAAAACTTCATCACCCACCCACCCTACAGTTCGGACTTCGCACCCAGTGACTACCACCTGTTCCCAAAGTTGAAAGAACATTTGTTCAGAAGGCGATTCTGCAGCAGTGAGCAGGCATGACATGGGCATTGTAAAACTGCCACAGCTTCTACAAAAATTCATCAACCGAAATGGCGATTATGTAGACAAATAGATAAGTCTTTAGCTTTAAAATTATGTAAATATTATGGGAAATAAACAGTTTTTTGTATTTCTAAAAAAATTGGGGCGCTTACTTTTGGGATTGGCCTCGTACTTTCAGCTCTCTCTTTACCACTACAGACCAGTAAAGCATCTGCACCACTCCAGCCACAGCCTCAATCAGTCTGTTGATTTCCTGCTCCCCTCTCCCCTCACTTGTAAACAAGACCCCGAGATACTTAAATTCCTCCACTTGGGGCAGCAACTCATCCCTTACCTGGAGTGGGCACTCTACCCTTTTCCAGCTCAAGACCATGGCCTCAGACTTAGAGGTGCTTATTCTCATTCCCACCACGTCACACTCAGCTATGAACCACTTCAGTGCAAGCTGGAGTCCAACACCCACTGGAAACAAGTCTGACTTATTGCCATCAATGCAAATCTAGCTCTTGGTTAAATAAGATCCGAATGCCCCACAGCAACAGGCCAGACACCCCATACTCCACAGGCACCTCCCAAATAATATTCTGCGGTAGAAAGCCTTCTCCAAGTCCACAAAACACAGGTAGACTGGTTGGGCAAGCTCCCACACACCCTCAGATATCCTCAAGCTGGTAAAAAGCTGGTCCAGTGTTCTGTAACCAGGACAATAAACACATTTTTCCTCCTGTATCCAAGGTTCAACTAACAGACGGACTCTCGTTTCCAGCCCCCTGGTAAGGCTTTCCTGGGAAGACTAAGGAGTGTGACCTCGCCATAGTTGGAGCACACTCGCCGGTCCTCTTCCTTAAAGATGGGAACCACCAAACCGGTCTGCCAATATAGTTTACAGGGTTCATACGCCTTTTTTAGGGTCAAATTCAAGCACTTTTTAAGCACTTTCAAGGTCCCTTTTCAAGCTTTTCCAGCACATGCCCCCCCCCAAAAAAAAGAATGCATGTTTCAATTCGCATCCCCTCAGTAAGACCATGTGAAAATTAAGACAAATCATCCTAGGTGAACTCTTAAACACCTTTGTTCACCTTTTGTTAAGGAATAGAAAAATACTGCAAAAGGAAACGGTCGACTTATATACATAGTGTATAAACTCAAAATGCACATTTCACTTAAAAATTAAGATGTGACAATGTGAACAAATCAACTTGTTAGAGATATTCTTCTCCTGTTGACAAACTGTATCAGCAAAATTTATCAAAGTCTTCTCATCAGCTCTCATGCTTCTTTCCTGCGTGACAAAAAATAGGAGACAGATGTTTGTTTGTTTTTTAAGTTAGTTCCCAATAAAACTGTTCTATTGCTGTCTGTATTATTGTTGAAGTCCTAAACGTCAACTTTAAAGTGTTTGTGCTAATAACATCATGTACAGTCAGACAGGCATGGAGAACAGCACTGACTGGGAGGCTTTGAACAGATCACATAGTTCAATTCAACATATAAGACTTTAAAAATGCACAAGTATCTACTTAAAATCTATTGAATTTATCATCTGTGATATTATTATGTACAATTCCAATGTATTTTGTTCATCTCCCTTAAATAAACAGGCAGCCTTATAGTATGAAATATTCATATACAAATGCACATATAAATGTGTGTACTGTCTCAGTGGCTGATAGTGTCCCACAGGCCTCGGTGTGAGCTTGAAGACATTCATAATGTTTAAGTAGTTTAATCTGTCGGTGCTGACGATAAACACATTTTGAATGAAAGCCGGGGAACTTTGGTAGCACAGAAACAAGAGGCTATTCTTTGTGACCATATGGATCCCTCATATTACCATTATTTCAAATACTCAAAAAAGCTGGGGTCCAGGATATAATTGGCCGTTTTTGACTACTTTTGATTTGGCTTCTATATTTCACCTTTAAAAACTTTTATCTTGCCAATCTGTTATTTTCTCATTTTGACATACTGTATCAGCACATTTTATCTAAATTGAGACAAAATTTAAAATACGAGTAGAAAGTGATATTTTTGACTGTAAAAACCACAAGCATGTTTAACGAATCATTTTCATAACTTGAAATACAAATAGAAATTGTACATTTTTAAAAATATGCACACGTTTTGCAAACATAAATAACATACAAGTTATATGGTACTATTTACCTAAAAATGCAGCCAAGGCTCAGACGTTTTTTATATAACCATTTCAAAATATTTACAGAACAATCAGGCGTTCTGCGTCAAATAAGAAGGCACAAAAATTATTTATGCAACTCCAAAAAATAGTTTGTGTCCACTATAACACAGATGAGAACGGCACAGGGATAAACCTGCAGGTTCTGACAGCAGCTGTGTCACTCAGGGTTTACACTGCACTCTGCCTTTGGTGGCTTTTTTGCAGCATATGTCACATTCACTAGTAGAACTGACACACTCACAAGCAAAGCGTTTGCTAGCGCTCTCCTTAGAAAACGCCGTTTTGACCGTTTCTTCCTGGAGTAAACGCCACCGTTTTATTAAAAACAAAAAACATTGGCTTTACGTGGCCAATCAACACAATATATAGTTTGAAGTCCGCACGTTCGACCCAAGTTGAAATGGAGACTCTAGGTCCGTCGACCCCAGAGGGTTAACCAGAAAGCCTAAGTTGGCTAGTTATGTATTGGGCTAATGTTTAAAGCTTTCACTTGAGTAAATTAACTCATATCACTGCTAAGTAATGTTAGCTAAGTTCACAGCATATTCCATAATAGCGCTGCCATACTGCATCACACTCAGTGCATTTCAATCATTTCTCCAGAGAGTTTGATAGTTAGCAAAATAATAATCTTTTTTTTTTCAATAGCATGTGTAACGTACACGTACTGAAAATTTATTTACTAGCACTCACCTATCATGACTGGAACTCCGCCATTGTTGTTTTCCATCAAACACTCATTAAAACAGCAACCTACAGGTATGTTAGCGCACTCATCCCCGACTGTCCGAGGGAGGGGCGGGGTCACATATTGAAACAGACAGAGGCGCAAGGCAGCCCAGGCGGGGAAATTTTTCCTCTACATTTTGCGACTGATTTTATTTCTCTACCTGATAATAAAACTATTCAATCAGATAGCTATTTATTGTGAATGAAATACAGTTACACTTTCAAGCACTTTTAAGCACCACATCTGAAATTCAAGCACTTTTCAAACCTTGAAAAGACAACATTAAAATTCAAGCATTTTCAAGGATTTCAAGCACCCGTACGTACCCTGAGTGTACCAACAGAGATTTTCATGTGACATTGTAGAGACATGTCAATTAAGAAAACTCTACAACACTTAGAGCCTTTCATCACCTCAGTTGAAATTGGCACTAACCTCTAGGCAGTCTGACAGTCTTGTTCCATGGCCTCACTAAACTCTTCCCAAAAACCAAATTTTTGCTTCAGCCACTGCTCAAGCTGTGTTCCACTTGGCCTGCTGGTACCCATTGGCTGATTTTGAAGTCCTGCAGGCTAATCAAGTCCGACGGACTCTTTTTTTTCAGCCTGATGGCTCCCTGTCCACCATCTGCTTTGGGGGTTACCACCCTAACTGGCACCAACCACCTTGGAGCCTTGCACCTTGCAGGTGCTGAACATTTTTCATTCATCTCTAAATCTCTAAAGCTACAAATCTTTCCTTACCTCTAAAATATGCTCTGTTTGTTGTTCACGGTCCAGTTTCCTGGAGGTTGTGGTGATCAGACCTGAGAAATAAACAGTAGACAACAATTAAACTATCAAACAAGAATTTAGGAAATGTGCAATCTGTTTGCTGATAATTCACTGGAGAAAACTTAAAAATTAGTGCTGAGATTTGCCACATTAATGCAGTTATGCCGTTAACATCACTTTATACGTTTTGGGTCAACTCTAAAGGGTGGTATGCTAGTGGTATTCCAGGCTTATGTGGATCATCAAGACAAATTATAGCAGAAGACAGGTCTCCTTCATGCCTACATTATGATACCTGGGTTATCTTTTAGCCCTGATTCCTTCTGTAGCAAAACAACTCTCTAATATAGTCATATGCTGTGTCCAAATTCAGGGGTAGCATTTGTGGGCCGCAATTTTGGGCAATTACGTCACAGTGACCCGACGAAAGCTTTCCAAATTTGAAGAGTCCTCCAAATGTGGCGACAAATACGTCCTACTTTTCCCCAGATTTGAAGGATGGGTCGGGTGTATCCTTGGTGGCCTACCATATCCCATGATTCATTGCGGGTCACACAGGAGAATTTTTCTTATAACAATCGCGGACGAAGAGGGAGGTAATGCGGGAGAGGAATACACTTTTAGAGTCAATTTTGATTTTTCCGAATTAACCTTTTGGTGATATGTTTTAGGGAACAAAAAGCAAACAGCTCAATTTATTAAAATGAGATGAGAAAATGATCACCTCTGCATTGGGGTGAAGAATTCGGCCACTGTGGCATGGAGGTACAAGAATAAATCAATTTACATATCATATTCATAAGATTACGGTTTTATTAACCCTCATGCTGTACAGAACCTGTGATGTCCAGACGATATTTCTCTTATGTTCTACTGCAAAAACTTTTGGATTTAGGGATTAACATAGTTGCCATAGTTTTCTCTCTTCTCTTATTGTTTGTGTGTGATCAGGACAATTCTGGAGAAGATGGGCCTTCAGGAGAAAGTCACCTCCTTGGAGGCCAGAAAGAAATGGGATAATTTAAAAAGAAATACAAAGTATGTATGTGTGTTATCAAGAAGATAATTCTTAAGAACACATGTTAATAAATGTACAACTACTAAGAGTTGTTGTGTTGTATTTATTTGCCTCCTGTCCTAATTTCCTTTCTCCCTGAGGACACTCCAGGGCCAATCGTAGCAGCGGGTGACCAAAACGAAAGTGATGAGGAGGGGGGACAGCCACCCAGACAGAGGCTGAGGACAGGAGAGCGCAAGAGAACAGGGAAAGGATGGACAGACTGTTTTCAATACTTGAAAGATTAGTTCCAAAATGAGTTATGCATTAGGACATTTATTTATTTGGATATATTTGCTACGTTGTTATATGTGTTGCATTAAACTAAAGTTTTATGTCATGAATAAATTATCACTGAACTCATTTTATTTACAGGTATTTTTTAACATGTATGAACATAACGCTAACGTTGAACAATTTTAAATGGAGATTTATTTAATGAGAATGAAGTAAATAACAAAAACAATAAAACAAGAATATTTATAATACATCAACAAAAATCAGGACTGGGATCCTCCTGGTTAAAAAAAAAACGGTCCAGGACTGGGACACTCAGGTTAATCCTACAGTACAAGGGTCTGGTCTGGTTAAGGAAAAGGTGGAGAACAACATAAACAGTTTTTGTAGAAAGGTATGATTTCATTCATTTGAAGAGATCAAAGCATTATTCTGATTATTAAGCTTAAGTAAAATATACAAATAAGCTGTGAAAAGACTTAAATTTTATACACTTTATCTGTGTAACTAAGCTTTTTTGTGAACTCAAAAATAACAATGTTTTCAGCTTGTGACATTTTGTGACTTGTGACTCAGTGACATTTTTACAGCCTATCTATGCACACAAATAAGTTACAGGATCAAATGAATAATAGAAAATAAATAGAAATAGAAAATGTTCTTCTATAAGTTTCAAAGAGATTTAATTTACACATTTTATATGAAACAGTAAATGTGCACAATAATTCAGCCACTGAAATTATCCATGAAACTAGTAATTCCTAAATGCGTGTAGATTAAAGGAAATTATTTTACCTGCATATGATTGTCTCTGATGAGCTTAAGGTACAAAACATGCAGGGGACGACAACGTTTTTCTAGCTCCAAGAGAATTAAAAATGTACAAAAAATGGAGCGACATTTCTGGGTCCATTTTAAAGTTTTCACACCGTGGTGCTGGCGACCGGAAAAACATGGAAGTA